GCTCCCTCCACTCGGGCAGGCGGCGGCGGCCGCGCCCGTCCCGGTAGGCGCAGGCCCGGCGCAGATTGTCGGCCGCCAAGCTGCAGGCCACGCGTCCGCACATGGCAGCGACCTATCCCGCACCCCGCTCCGCTCCGCGCCGCGCCGCCCGGCCCGCGGCCAGGGCGTCTTCAGTACCAGAGACTGCGGGGGGAGGCGGGGCGGGGCGGACACAGCGGAGTGGGGGCAGGGCAGGCGTCTCCCCCCGCCCCCAGTCTGAGCCGCAAAGAGAAAGAGAAGCCGGGCCGGGGTGGGGAGGCATCGCATCTCCTGCCCCTCCGAGTAGGTCCTCTGCAGCAGCCCGGGGAGGCCCCGCGGTCGGCCAGAGCTCGGGGAGAGCCGAGTTGGGGACAGCCGAGGGGCGCGAGCCACCGAAGCAGCCGCGCAGGCACCGCGCTTAGGATCCACGCTGTTTCCCTCCGACACACTGGCGAGAGGCCGCCCGAGGCTGGCTGCATCTAAGGGCACCCATGCCGCGTGGCCCGAGTGGCTGGGGAGGCCCGGCGGTGGTAGTAAGCAGGAGACACTGCTGACACTGCCGGGGGGCAGAGGGTAAGCACTGTCCAGGGGCCAGTGACCACCTACAGATTCTGCCAGGGGTGGTGGTGGTGGTGCCTTTCCATAGGGGGGTGCACCGCCACACTCAGGTGGTGCACATTGCCCAGTGTCTAAGGGCAAGCCAGCCTTGCCGACTTGCTAGAAAGGCGCAGCGCCTGGGAAAAGGGTTGAGCGAGATACAAGTGGAAAGGAGCCAACTTCTAGAGCCAGGTTCAGAAGGAATTTTATCCTTTTAAAACGATCACATCCCTTTTTATTTTGGGGGCCTTTCAAAGACATAAAAACAGTAGAAGAAATTAAAGGATGTAACACACTGATTTCACAGGTTCTCACTGAGTGCTGCCCAGTGGCTGGGCTGCCATGACAGAAACAAGTAAAAGGGGCTTCGTTGGCAAAACATTGCAAACCGCTGCTGTATCCAGCAACTTAGTATGATGAAACAGGCTGACTTTGTAAGAGACCAATCAAACGTTTCATAAAACGTACTGGGGCTTACAACCACCATCCTTGTATTGCGAGAAATCCAAATACCCATCCTAATTTTACTAAAGAAAAGAAAGCTGTTGTAGTGAGTATGATTTCCATTCAATGTCCAGAAAGAGAGAGAGCAGATCGCCCTTTATGGGCCTTGCACGTCAGAGAACAGTTCCAGAAGGGCAGTTTAGCCAACAGAGGCCATGACTACATCGACAGGAAGCTCTTCTCCGCTGCGGGCCGTGACTTGCATCGTCACAGTATCTGTCAGGACGAGGCGAGAACGTACCAGGAGGTCGTGGCCACCCCGAAACACACCTGGGACACAGAAGAGATGGAGGAGAGAATTAGGTGCTAGCAAGTCCCTGGCTCACCCACCTAATTCTAATGGTACCATGGCTGGAGCAGATGTAGCTCTCCAAAAGAAGGTCAGCTGAAGACAGGCACAGCTGGACGGCTTTGAACCTCACAGGAACACATTAAGACTGAGCTGATCACTAGCATAAATCTAGTATAAAACCTGCCAAACCAACTTAAGTTTACTTCTCTGCTTTTAAGTCTAAGATACCACAAGACATTCCCAATCTCACTATGAGCTACATCTCCTATAAACAGCCTCAACCTGTAATTCAAAATGGGTGACAGAAGTTGCGGGGGGTGGAGAGTGTGACAGGGACAGACAGATTTATGCATCTTATATAGAGCTCTGGCAATTGAGGGACAGACAACACACGGGATGCGCTAACAGCATGCCTTGAGCAGGCAGGTCCACGTGTCCCAGAAGTGTCACACGAGACACAGCAAAGATCCCCGCCACAGCTTACCTGCAAGGTACAACGTGTGGGAGTTCTTGTTGTCTGGCACTTTATCTGAGCGCTCACATGGCTGCATCCCTAGGAACTTCACAATATTACTGACTGCCTCTGTTTAGAGAAATAATGAAGTATCATAAGCATTTTTTGTGACAACCCCTGAAGGTGACACAACCCTCCTAACATAAAAGACAAGCTGCTTGCCCCAAGAGGATTACCCTATAGCTCTACAAGGTAGCTCTTACTACATGTGCTTGAACAGACCCCAACTCACTGTTAAATATCTTTGGACACTATCACAATCTGTAGCAGGAGCAAGCTATAGGACAGTGGGGCTCAACCTTCAAGCCCTTCAGGCTGGATGAGTGGCATCAGAGAGGTCTTCAGGTGCAATCCAGCACCCCCACATCCATCCCCCACCCCTCTGCATCCATCCCCATGCCCCTGAACCAGCCTCATGCAGCAGAGCAGTCTAGCATGTAGCACCACATCATCCAAGTCATGGGACTCCCCCACCAGTCTGGGAATTGGGCATCGGGAAAAACAATTAACACAGCTACTTCCTCCCTTGCCACTACATTTCCAGAGCCCTGGTGAGCCCTGTGGGCCACATGACACATCCAGAGGTTGAGCAGGGTTGAACTATTATAGGGGGAGAAAAGGGCAATAAACTTAAGACTAATTCCCAGCCTACCACATCCAGAACCCCTAACACAAAACAACATGATGAGAGCTTGCCATATAGAGCATGCTAGGGGCTTTTAGGAAGACCCCAAAGAAAGTGACAGCTGAAAAGGTCCAGGATTCAGACCTTGCCTCTTGCTGGGAGGGAAATGCTAGGAGATCTGCTAGGATCAGAGCCTGCCTTACCTTCCAGTGTTTTAATGGTGGATAAAGTGAAGGTCTCTTCCTTTTCATACTCATCACCCACTTCATCCCAGGCTGCTCCAAAATTTGGTTTCAGAACCCTTTGGATGTGATCCACTACTGTGACCTCGATATCTTCAAGCTGATGGTGAAAAGGAAGTTTAACCAAAATAAAATGGCTCCTAGTTTTACCCTCTACAGCAGACAGCTGTAAGCCTTCCTTCATTACAGTCAAGCAGTCACATTCATGTTTCACCACAGCTTTCCTTGGAATTAGTGCCCTGTCCCCTTTCGAGGTGGTTTGAGCAATACCATTTTGACACCATTTGTTTGCTGTAGGTAATGGAGCTGGAAAAACCATCAGGTGCTCCATGCCTAGGGTTTGATAAACTGATTTCCCATTTTGAGCACAGTTCTTAAATCTGCTACAAATGAAAGTGTGAAAGAGATCCAAGAGAATGGACAACACAAAAATAAAAATTCAACAAGAGATGTCAGTGTTTGGACTTGCATTTCTGGTACACAGAGAAACTTCCCTGGAGTTGGCTTCCCAGTTTGTACCATGAGGCCCAAGGAAGACTGAAGTTATGCGGACAGAGTATTTGCTGTATTTGGAAAGGATCCTGCAAGCATCAGTGTTGTAACTACTACCCGTCACCATCCAGCACTTCACATTATTCCAGTCACATTTTCGTGAAATGCAGAACTTGGGTCAAAGGAGGAGACTCCCTCACTGAAGCATATTAGAACTGGTCAGCAACCTGCATTCATTTATATATCCTCTGCAGGAGTGCAGTCATTATCTATTTGTTATAATATAGTTTAATGGACTATACTTGCTATTTCAATTCACTCAAGTGCCTTAGTAATGGGGGACGGGAGGAAAGGCTCTCTCAATCTGGCAAAAGATGAGCATCTCACTATGCTGTTCCCCTTGCAGAATCCTCCCCACCCCTCCTGGCTTGATGCACCTCACACTGCTTTTCCAGTGCTTCATGCTGACTCACTGCCCAGTGGTTTCTATAATCAAATGCTAAACAGCATCAGCAGAGGAAAGGGCAGGGGATACATGGCAAACAACTACTGCAGTCAGAACAGGTTAAGGTTCAGTCACGTCATTCCTGTCCCCCTCCAAAGGGCACATTACCCCACCCTGTAAGAAGCAACTGAGGCTCTGGGCTGAGTGCAAAGCAACTTCTCCGCAGTGGTAACACAAAACTCATCAACGAAATCAGCTTATGTGCTCAGAAGTCCTACTTGGATCTGGTAATAGGCTCAAACAGAACCCCTTACAGAGGCTGTTAATATAGGCCAGAAGGAAGTCACCCCTTGCTTCCAGGTTTGAGGGCCAGAGCAGCCACATGGCATGGGAGGCTGCAATGGACTTTCCCTGGTACCAGAGCCAGGAGCTCCACAATGAATGGCTCTAGCACATGAAGAGATGCTCACTGAGCACTAGAGGTAGCCAAACAGCATCCTTCATTCATTAAACAAGCTCCGCTACTGATAGAGCCCACCATTTCCTGCTCAGAGCACTGGCAGATTATTTTTAAGTCTGTGGCATTTGCTCAGGAATGGAAGGAGGTTTATTTACTCAGAGCAGAGAGCCCTGCTGTGTAGGAGGGCTGCTCGCACTGGCAGGAGTCCTGTGCAACGCAGACAGGAACCACGCACACTTCTCCACATGGCTTTGCCAGCAGGCTGAGAGAGATAACACAGTGTCCACAGAGATGGAAGTACTGATAGGAGCATACACTAGGTTAGACAGTAACCATCTGTCCATACTGGCACTGTGTAAGTGGGGAGGCTCAGATATTCATTAGATCTAGCTTGGCCCCCAGGAGTCAAAAGTGTTGTCACAGAGACTGCAGAGAGAAACTTAGTTTAAGGCAGCGGGGGGAGGTGGCATCCTTTCTGGTAGGCGTGCCACAAATAGGTCCCGCACCCTTCCCATGTGCCACTCCCATCCCTCCCCTTCCCCTGCTCGGCATTCTGCTCCCTGCCCTATCTGCTACTATTCTGCCTGCCCCCTCCCTGATTTGTGTACCACAGAGAGGCTGTAGTGTCTGTGCCACTTGTGACACATGCTACAGAGTGGCCACCCCTGGTTTAAAGGAAATTCTGGTTTTCCATGGAAGAAACCCACAGAAGGTGTCCAGAGTAGCTGCTTATGACCAGATATTTCACTATAAGACAAAAAAAAAAAAAAAAAAAACA